TGCAATTCAAATGAAATCTTGGAAAAATAAATTTTATTCGCTAATGGTTTATTTTATCGTGTATCAACAAGAGCTCCTTTCCTATGTTAATAGCATTGAGATTTCATAATTTCATGTAAATAAACTGAAATTGCGATGAACAAAAAAGTTGGAGTTATTTTTACCCCCTACCCCCCTATTTTGATGCACCCCTGTATTTAGTTTTGAGGTGATTTTAACTCCATCCGAACCGGCACTGATTAGTCAGTGGATAAACAAAATTCTAGATTTTCATCATACAAGGTGTTGGAGATAATAATACAAAATCATTCTCCGAGGTCCCCCTTTGAGGGGCTGTATCTTTCTTGGGGGGCACTTCAGAAAAAAGATTTGCCAAGGTTTTCGTAATTATTTCACTCACTCTATATACTCCCAAAGTTTGACCACCTATTTTAGAATCACCTTGTATATATACGTATATACATATTTATGGTGCACAAAGAATCACTTTTTAAATTTAACCGCCGTTTCGCGTTCATGAAAGTTACTTCCAATCCTGTGGACAGCGACCCCTGCGGGAGAAGAGAGAACGAGACAGACTGAACGAGCGGAATCGAGCGCGCAGTTGACTCCTCAAATAAAAATCGATAAAAAACCTATTCTAGTGATTTAAAACCCGCGTTTTTCGGTGCACCGCGTTCGCATATCAAATTCCACTTCTGGAGCAGCCCTGGAACCTGTAGTCCCTGGAATGGTGCAGATTTCAACTGTTTAAGGTAGGAAGTACTTTCCCGCGATTGATTCAGCGTGATTTGAATCAAACAAAACAAAAAAAAAAAAGAAACTACAGTCCACTACAAATCAGCGTCATATACAGTGTGTCCACCTCAAGGACTTACCACCCCTGTAAAATTGTTATTATCTGACCGATTTCAAACAACTTTTTTTGTTGGATAGGTATTTGAAATGTCCATCCAACAAGAGAGTGATTTTACTCATGAACTGTAATCGTGGCCAACTGCGACCAACTTTATTGACCCATATTTGAGAAAGTACTATTAGGGATTTTTTTTCACAAAAAACAATGATGGATTCTGAATCACGATCACTTGAAAAACACCTTTACTGATTTTTATCATCATAAAACACAGGGTGTCCGAAAAAACGAACTATGTTTTTTTTTTAAATAGGTGATCAGAAAATGTAGTATTGTGGTATTTTTGAGAAGAATTAATGACACATTATTATTGAGGATCACTTTGAACATATCTGTACCGATTTTCATCATTAAAAGATACGACGTGTATGAGAAAACAATTAAAAAGAAAAAGTAGGCAATATTTTTTCATCAACTCAAAAAAAATATTAATTTGATTTTTCGAACACCCTGTGTTTAGTGATGATGAAAATCGGTACAGGTATGTTCCAAGTGATCCTGATTCATCTTTTTATTTTGAGTGAAGAATTGTCAGGATGAAAAATATTGCTTACCTATCCTTTTTAATTTTTTTCTCAGACACATATTCAAATGACGAAAATTGGTACAGGTATATTTGAAATAATCCTCAATGAAAATTTGTGATTATTTCTTTCTAGAAAAACCACAGAACTACATTTGCTGATCACCTATTTGAAGAAAATGATGATTTCGTTTTTTCGGACACCCTGTGTTTTATGATGATGAAAATCGGTACAGGTATATTTCAAGTGGTACTGATTCAAAATCCATCATCAAGTTTCGTGGAAAAAAAATCCCTAATAGTACTTTCTGGAATATGGGTCATTGAAATTTGTCGCAGTTGGCCACGATAACAGTCCAAGAATTAGATCACTCTCTCGTTGGATGGGCATTTCAAATACCTATCCAACAAAAAAAGGTTTTTTGAAATTGGTCAGATAATAACGATTTTACAGGGGTGGTAAGTCCTTAAGGTGGACACACTGTATATGGAATTTTTTGTCAATCTGGCAACACTGTTCGAAGAAATCTCTGTATCCCATTTTCGACAGTCTACACGTCATAATGTGTGGATGGAAATGTGTGGGTAACTTCACACTAATCGGCGCTGCTAGCTTTATGTCAACCTATAGCAGAACTATAGCTGAACTTTAATTTTTTCGAAAACTTCAAATATACCATAATTTATTTTCTCTTTGATTACTATAACTTAAAACTATAATGACGAATTTTTACTCATCATTCATCTCAACCTAGCAGAACACAAAACTCTATATAATCAAATGTTATTTAAAATTCTATTGAGTCATCAATTAGTTCCTATAGTTTTGAATTGACTCGGCCGTTACTTGATGGAAATCCATGATAAATGTAAAAACTTCACAAACGATAAGATTTCCACAAAATTTATTAAACACACGACATGTTTCGCTAACACAGTAGCTTCGTCAGGTGATATATACTGGTACAATGACAACAAACGATAAGATTTCCACAAAATTTATTAAACACACGACGTTTCGCTAACACAGAAGCTTCGTCAGGTGATATACTGGTACAATGAACAGTTCATTGTACCAGTATATCACCTGTGAAGTTTTTACATTTAGTTCCTATAGTTTATGACTATTTTATTGCAAATTTATATCCCTTCATTCAACAGAGAAAACCAACGGCACTGATAGCTTTATGATAAATTAGAATTGAATTAGAATTCAGTTTTATGAACTTGAAAAATACCATAATTCACAACTATATTTCATTCTGACAAGTACAGCTATAATTATTTTATACCAAACTGACAGGACTTTGCTTCGCTATCCATGGTTACATCAATGATGGAAGTAAGATATGGTGTAATTACTGACACAGTATACACCCTTACTGATGCGCTTTTGTTTCAGAAATTTTACTCGAACAGCGAGAGCAATGGTTCCGTCGATCTTCTAATAGATGGCGACATGACATCTGTCAGTTTTGAAATTGTCGCGGATTTTTCGAATTCAGAGTTGAATAATCCCACTGCTGTTACATAATTATGTTCCGCGTACCTAAAATACCATTTGCCATTTTATTTCTACTCGCCCCACCCTGCCCCTCGCTGACGACGCCCTTGTACAGGGTGGTCCAAGATTCAATTCTGATCACTGTATCCCATCCGATTGATTGCAGTAGAGTTAATCAAAGGTTGCATGAGATAGGGACATGTAAACCGTTTTGACCAATAATGAATAGTTTCAACACAAAAAATCCCAACCCAGATAGCACAAAATGTCATTCATAGAAAATTCATGAAATATTCTTCGATAATATTTGAATATTCTCAGAATATTCTCACAATATGATACAAATGTTAATAAAACATCCAGAATGGACTGTTTCAAATATTCTGAGAATATTCCTAGTATCCTCCTATCTGAGTTATGTCGAAAAATCATAGAATCTGTGAGATTAATAATAATTAACGCAATTTAATTGAATTGATGATATAAATATCGATTTCGACCTGAAATGTATGACCCCAGGACGTCCGCGTCGTACGTCTTCGAAAATTTTGGCGTCGTACGTCCTCAGGGCGTCCAAATTAGAGTATGGGACGTTCGGCCATGAATAGGATATAAAATGGACGTCCTCGGGACGGCCTGTGCTATCTGGGAACCTTAACCACTTCGCCACGAAACTTATTGATAAATAAAATGAATAGCAAGATGACAACACTGAAGCGGGATAATCAGCATTGAGGCTAGAAAATAATAGGTTATGTCAGGGTAAACATAAATATTGATACAAGAATAGGAACATCAATATCATTTATTTTGCTACGATTCTGAAATCTCAGAATATTCAAAGAAAATATTCTGAGAATGTCAAATTGAATGTTCATAGAATATTCGCTGCAGGATGAGAATTTTCTATGGTCATTCTGAGCACATTCTATAAGAATATTCTAAAATAAGTATATTTGCACGTTGTCGTCAGAATATTCATAGAATATTCTGTGCTGTCTGGGCAAAGTTGAAAAATCTCGATTTTGAACAGCCTATATATACGAGGATATCAGCGCAACAATTTTCTAGGCCACAAATTTCACATAATCTGTTTTAATCCCACCAAAATTCCTCACAAAATGAACTCCCATGAAACAATGGCTCAGACAACCTTTGTTTCATTGTAACGAGATGGCAGCAACATAATGCAGTTATTCATTTCAATATTTAGGTGGATGAGTAAATGCGACACTGGCATTTTTTGTAGCTTAGGCCAGTATTTTTCTACGTCTTCTTAGTAAGGAAACGAATAATTTACATCATTTACAAGACAATAAAAGTGCTAAAAATCATCAACGCTAAGAAAAATATATCTTGTGGAGCTGATCCCCTTCATAAAATGGGGACGTCTGATGAGGACGCATCAGAAGAGATATTTTCAGGGGAAGAAGAAGACATTTTAGTTATCTATAGCCAAAAAAAAACAATAAAATCTCTCAATTATTATGTTTTTAATGATATCCCAGAAGACCCACATAACAAAATATTTTTGATCAAATTTAAAAATCAACAGTGGCCTAACCTCAGCCTAATCAACATTTAACATGAAAAAAAAATCAAATATGGTTTTTTTCATCAAAGCTTTATTTTTCATTCGTAATTACCTAGTGAGTGAAAATTTTAGTATTTGATCCCAGAATCATTGGTCATTTATCTGGAAACTAAAGAAATAGGCTTAGGCCATTGTTGCGCTGACTCAATTATCTCTGTAATCATTTCTACGAGACTTCAAGTGTGATACTTGATGACTTCAGCTCTTAAGGAATAATTTAAAAATGCAATGAGATACAGCACATTCCATTAAAAAAATAAAACTTTGATACATCTCGTGTTTTTGACACACCACACAGCCTGTACAACATGAAAATATACATCCCTCCCTCCCTCTCCCTTTCTCCCTCTCTCCCTCTCTCCCTCTCTCCCTCTTCCTCTCATTCTTCCTCTCCCTCTCCCTCTCCCTCTCCCTCTCCCTCTCCCTCTCCCTCTCCCTCTCCCTCTCCCTCTCCCTCTTCCTCTCATTCTTCCTCTCCCTCTCCCTCTCCCTCTCCCTCTCCCTCTCCCTCTCCCTCTCCCTCTCCCTCTCCCTCTCCCTCTCCCTCTCCCTCTCCCTCTCCCTCTCCCTCTCCCTCTCCCTCTCCCCTCTCCCTCTCCCTCTCCCTCTCCCTCTCCCTCTCCCTCTCCCTCTCCCTCTCCCTCTCCCTCTCCCTCTCCCTCTCCCTCTCCCTCTCCCTCTCCCTCTCCCTCTCCCTCTCCCTCTCCCTCTCCCTCTCCCTCTCCCTCTCCCTCTCCCTCTCCCTCTCCCTCTCCCTCTCCCTCTCCCTCTCCCTCTCCCTCTCCCTCTCCCTCTCCCTCTCCCTCTCCCTCTCCCTCTCCCTCTCCCTCTCCCTCTCCCTCTCCCTCTCCCTCTCCCTCTCCCTCTCCCTCTCCCTCTCCCTCTCCCTCTCCCTCTCCCTCTCCCTCTCCCTCTCCCTCTCCCTCTCCCTCTCCCTCTCCCTCTCCCTCTCCCTCTCCCTCTCCCTCTCCCTCTCCCTCTCCCTCTCCCTCTCCCTCTCCCTCTCCCTCTCCCTCTCCCTCTCCCTCTCCCTCTCCCTCTCCCTCTCCCTCTCCCTCTCCCTCTCCCTCTCCCTCTCCCTCTCCCTCTCCCTCTCCCTCTCCCTCTCCCTCTCCCTCTCCCTCTCCCTCTCCCCTACAAAAATTTCACCTCGCTCACCAACTTCTGAATAATTGATCCCAATTGTATACACTGTAGGCCTGTTCCTTTGTGCTTGCTCTACCTGCTGTGCTTGATTTTTTTCTATGACTTTCTTCGTTTACATCATAACATGAACAGAGACATCTGTGGGAAAAATATCAACTTCAGCCAGTTTAGCAATACAAACGAGCAGGCCTTGTATAGAACAATCTAAAAAAATATGAATTCTTGATATTATCTTTGAATCATTCAATTTTTTCAGGTTCAGTGGAAAGTCTAGTTGATGGAATATCACCTCCATCAGACATAATATAGTATCGAATCATGGGTTATGAATATTCGACACTACATAAAAAACTGCCTCCAAGATGAACCCCGTTCGTATTGGGAGATATGTTGAGTTAAACTTTATTTATAACTAAACAGATAAAAAGAGATCTTGAGAACAGAATATCGATTGAAAAAAGATGCAATTCGAACAAATCTAACTCAAAATGACGACTACTAAGAAATTGGCGTTCGAGTGTGATGTATGCAACAAAAAATTTTCATCCAAGGGTAATCTCACTCGACACAATATGGTGCACACCAAACCATTCGAATGTGATATTTGCCACAGGACATTCGGGAACCGGAGTAATTTACAACTTCACGATAGAGTGCACAGAGGGGAAAAACCGTTCAAATGCAATATTTGCGAAAAAGAAGTGCGTACAAAGGCTGCTCTAACAGAACACCTGAGGATTCACACTGGCGAAAAACCGTTCGAGTGCAATGTTTGCCTTACTCGTTTCCGAACGCACAGTAATTTGAATGAACACAGTAAAGTTCACACTGACAGAAGACCATTCGAGTGTGACGTGTGCAACTTCAAATTCAGGACCAACAGTCATTTAATTACGCACACTAGAACTCACACAGGAGAGAAACCGTTCAAATGTGATATCTGCAACAAAACCTTCTTCAAAAAGAGTAATTTAAATTCTCACATTAGAGTGCACAGTGACGTTAAAAACTTCCACTGTGATAAGTGCGATTCAAAATTTAAGACCAAAGTTAATTTGACGCAACACAGTAAGAAGCACTGTAATGATATCTCATTCGAATGTTTTATTTGCGACGCAACATTCCGTTCTAAAAGGGATTTAACTAGACACTGTAAGATGCACACTAGTACTGAACCGTTTGAATGTAAAATTTGTAGCCAGAAATTTGTGAACAAGAATCGCCTTACAAAACACAGTAGGATACACACAGTTGATGCACCATCTGAAGCTGTTCCTGAAGAAAACTGTACCAGAGATTATCTCACCAATGATTCAATTGCTTCAGCAAATTGCAAATTTGATGTTTTTATTAAAGAAGAACTTGATATGGAAATCGAGTATAATGAACTACAGTTGGACAATCTGGAGGAAATCGTAAGAGTGAAGCAAGAAGACATTGACCATTGATATAAAATAATTTCCTTGAGGTGTGTATTATTGGTATTATCACTATCGGGCAGCAGCCTTGCAGTAGCTATAGCCCATGGATGGCGTGGATTTTGAAATAAATGTCTGAGCCGTAATATCCTGCATGTGTACACAGTGTGCTCACTTGAAAGCAAGACAACTAACATCTTTATTTAAAGTTCGATTTTGACAAGTAGACCATTTTTGCCAACTCCTGCTCCCCATATATCTACAAAGCCTTCTTCTAGTTTATTTAGTCCTTTATGCACCTTCCTGACCTTCTGATGGGAAGGTTGTCCGTCCACTCAATTCGAGTAAATTCTCCTTTTGTAACTTATCCACTCCAAAGATTTCGAATCTCATCCTTCCATACGCCTCACACTCTCCGAGGAAGTGAAATGACGTTTTTCTACAAGCGTGCGTGATTCACCCTATACCCGCACGCAATTTAGTTTGGGAAGTGTCATTTTCCCGCAACACTGCGGGAAAACAAAGATATGATGATATCGCTAATAATATAAGTGGTTGGTGATGGAATATAAAAGTTTAAGTTTGTTTGTTGCAGTATTAAGTATGTATGTTCAGAATCATCCATCAAATTGCACTATTCATTGTGAAAATTAAGAAATATTGAGAAATAAAAATTCATTATTGTAAAAATCCCCCTATAGATTTGGATTGATCTGATGGAAAACGATTATTGTTGTCATGCCATCAATCAAACCTCAAATAAGTTTGAAATTGTCGAAGTGACAGACACAGCGTTACTGTCATTTTCGATTCAGTGGAAATGCCACAATGTGATCAAAAACTTCTAGCGATAGGGCTTCGATACAGATGCGTTATTACCAACGAAGTCTCGAGAAAGGTATGAGAAGCTATACACGCGTTTTATCGAATGGTGCAACAATAATAAAATGAAAATACCGAATGAAGAATAGGTATTTTTGGCTTATTTCATAGAAGTGTCTGAAACCTAGACACCAAACTCCTTATGGGCCTGCCCGCTTCCGCAATGAACCAACATAATGCGTCAAACTGTAAGTTCACAATAGCTATTACTAATAATTAGTAGATAGAGAATGTATTTCTCTTGTTAGCTGTTCCTATTTGCATGAATAATTAATTGAACGAATCAATCAATTTCCTACGCTTGTAGAAAAAATATTGTTCCTAACTCATGCGGAAAGTGTCTTTCCCGCACTCGACTGCATGCCCGAACTCCGCTTCGCGTCGTTCGCGTCAACGGCTGTCGCGTGCGGGAAAGAATAACTTTCCGCACTTGTTAGGAAAATTACTATTCCTCATCTTCTACGCATTCACGGCAAGTGGGATTATCTTCTACATCTATGAGTGATAGGTGTTTGCGCAACTGCCTATACACCTCCAATATCCTTCTTGTGCTTTGTCCGCCCATTCGTTGAGGGCGAACGAAGTTTGGCTTCTTGTAATGCCCAGTTACAGGCTCCGGTCCTCAGGACGGTATCACGGATCCGATTCTAGGCAGCTCGTATGCCACTTCGTTTCCGGCAGTGGCGCAACCAGGATCACTTTCTAGGGGAGGTGTGAGTTTTCCAATAAAAGTCTTGAGAGATACTCGAAAACGGTTCAAAATATATTGCCAATAAATTCCGTGACAAAATTTTATATTGAGAAAACAAGTAAGTAACGACTCTCGAATAACAAACTCAAAGAAATCATGGCACTAGATTACAATAATTTTGAATGACATATTATGACAAATATATATACTGGACGATGAATCTTCTACATTCTCCCCTACGTGAAGAAGTCTTCACTAATTCTCAGTAGAAGTGGGCAGTATGCATAATTTGGAAACAGGTCTGGTGTAGCTCCCTCTTTTCGTAACTACCTTAGCTACTCGAATTACGCCATCCTTCCCTGGATACGTCTCAGCTATGCGTCCCATCAGCCATTCTGTTCTCGGTGCCTTTTCATCGACGATGACTACCACATCACCAACCTTCACTGGACTAGATCGATCGTGCCATTTCTGTCGGTTGACCAAGCTAGGTCTATATTCCATAATCCAACGTTTCCAGTACAAATCTGCAAGTGCTTGAGAAAATCTCCATTGTTTTCTTGTGGAAATTGAATTTTCAGCACATGATGAAACACCTCCTGGGCGAAGAAGTAAGAAGTGGTTTGGGGTGATTGCGACAGGGTCATCAGGGTCTACGGATATATGGGTGAGGGGTCGTGAGTTCACCATATATTCTGCTTCACATAAGAGTGTGATGAGAACTTCTTCTCTTGGTTTTACAGTCTCCAATGATATCTTCAGTGCCGTCTTAATGGACTACACCATTCTCTCCCAGACACCAGCCATATGAGGAGCGCCTGGGCAATTGAATTTCCATGTGGTTCCATTCAGGGCAAGGTCGTTGGATATTCTATCATGGTCTAGCAAATTCACCCACTCTCGTAATTCTCGCTCAGCTGCTACGAAATTTGTTCCACAATCAGTTCAAAACTCCTTTGGTTGGCCTCTTCGAGAGATGAAACGCCTTATAGCCATAACTGTAGAACTAGTATCTAGCGATGCTGCCAACTCAATATGGACTGCTCGAATCGAGAAACAGGTAAATAGAACGCCATACCTTTTTTCATTTCTGCGACCTACAGCAACAGTTATTGGCCCAAAAAAGTCGATTCCCACATAAGTGAAGGGGAAAACATGGGCTTCCAGTCTTGATGGTGGCAATAGGCCCATTTCTGGCACTGCTGGATTACATCTTCTCTTTCTGCATTGCAGGCAAGTATTGAAACATCTTTTGACGGCCACACGAACATGCAGAATCCAAAATTTCAATCTCAAATTGTTTATCACTGTCTCTATCCCGACATGTCCAGCTTCCCTATGATAGTGGTCAATTAGGAGCAGTGTGTACCTATGCTTGGGGTCTAGAACAATCGGAAATCGAGAGTCATAGTCGAGATCGAGTCTGTCTGAATCAGGAAATCTTCCACCGAGACGAATCATGCCTTTCTCATCGAGGAATGCAAACAACTTGTACAAACGACTGGACTTTTCAAGGAGGCCGCCTTTCCTGAGAGTTTCGATTTCTTCAAAAAATGATATCCTTTGGCTCTAAGAAGCCTCGAAGCGGTGGATTCTCAAGAGCCAAAGGATATCATTTTTTGAAGAAATCGAAACTCTCAGGAAAGGCGGCCTCCTTGAAAAGTCCAGTCGTTTGTACAAGTTGTCTGCATTCCTCGATGAGAAAGGCATGATTCGTCTCGGTGGAAGATTTCCTGATTCAGACAGACTCGATCTCGACTATGACTCTCGATTTCCGATTGTTCTAGACCCCAAGCATAGGTACACACTGCTCCTAATTGACCACTATCATAGGGAAGCTGGACATGTCGGGATAGAGACAGTGATAAACAATTTGAGATTGAAATTTTGGATTCTGCATGTTCGTGTGGCCGTCAAAAGATGTTTCAATACTTGCCTTTCGTGGCCTGTCTTGTTTTGCTGTTAGCCAGATTTTCTTTATATACAACACCCAAGCT